CAGTCGGACTTTCCCGTCCTGCGTCTGCACTCTGACAGAGGTGGTGAGTTCACCTCCGACCTCTTGCGAGCCTTCTGTGAGGAGCACGGCATCACCCAGTCGTTCACACTTCCGGCCTCTCCGCAGCAGAATGGGGTTGCTGAGTGCCGCATTGGCTTAGTCATGGAGGTCGCTCGTACCTCCATGATCCATGCGGCTGCCCCCCATTTTCTGTGGCCGTTTGCGGTCCGGTGCGCCGCGCGTCAGCTCAACCTCTGGCCCCGTGTCTCCTTGCCGGAGACCTCGCCCACACTGCTGTGGACGGGGAAGGTTGGCGATGCGTCGCGTTTCCGAGTCTGGGGTGCTTGTGCCTTTGTCCGCGATACCACCGCGGACAAGCTCTCCGCTCGCGCCATTCCCTGCGTCTTCCTTGGTTTTCCTACTGACGCGCCTGGCTGGCAGTTCTACGAGCCCACCTCGCGCCGTGTCTTTGCGTCTCAGGACGTCACCTTTGACGAGTCTGTCCCCTTTTACCGTCTCTTTCCCTACCGCACTGCCCCTCGCCCCCTGCCGCCGCTCGCTCTCACTCCAGGTCCTCCCCAGGTAGCCCCCCTCCCCGCGCCAGGTCCTGCTCCTTCAGGTGTTTCTCAGGTAGACCCTCCCGTGCCTGCGCCTGTTGAGGTCACTGGTGACTCGGGTCCTGCTGGGGGTGCTGGGCCTGGGGGTGCGGAGCCTGAGCGTGAGGTGCCTGGGGGTGCGGAGCCTGAGCGTGTGGAGCCTGGGGGTGCTGAGCCTGGGGGGTGCGGGGTCTGGGGGTGCTGAGCCTGCGCGTGAGGAGACTGGAGGTCCTGCGCCTGGGGGTGCTGAGTCTGGAGGTGCGGAGCCTGGGGGTGCTGAGCCTGTGTGTGCGGAGTCTGGGGGTGCTGAGTCTGGAGGTGCGACGCCTGAGGGTACGGGGACTGCTGGTGCGCGATCTCCTTGGAGTGGCCGCCTTCGTCCGCATGTGCCTCTCACCTCACAGCAGCTGCACGACTGGTACGGTCGCTGTCAGGGTCGCGCTGCTGGAGCCCGGGGCTCTGCTGCTGGAGGTACTTCTGCTGACGTCCCTGGAGCTAGGAGTGGTGCTGGTACTTTGTCTACTGGAGGTGCTGGAGTCGCTGGTCCCGGAGGTGCTCGTACTGGAGGTACTAGAGCTGCTGGGGCTGGGGGTGCTGCGTCTGGGGGTGCCGCTGCTGGAGACACTGAGGCTGGAGACCCTGGGACTGGAGGTGCTGGTTCTGGGGGTGCTGCTGCTGGAGACACTGAGGTTGGAGACTCTGGGGTTGGAGGTGCCGGTTCTGGGGCTGGAGGTTCTGGAGTTGCTGGAGGTGCTGGAGCTGCTGGAGGTACTGGAGCTGCTGGTGCTGGTGCAGCTGCGCCGACACGACTGTTCTTCGCTCCGCCGTCTCCGTCGTCTCTGCCGCTGCCTGACTCTGTTCTTCGTCAGGTTCTTACCCTCCCGTCGTCTACTGGTCTTCCATTACAGCCTGGCTCACCGCTATCTGCTCCTTCTCCTTACACTGAGCAGACAGGTAGTCTTGCTGAGCGTCGTGAGCCTACGTCGCGTCCTGTCTCGCCTGTTCGTTCTGGTCGTACCAGTCGTCGTGTTCCTCGTTCGCGTCAGCCGGCTGTCCCCAGCGCACACCTCGTTGTCCGTCGTCCTTCCTCTGCTCCGCAGCCTGTTCCTCTGCCGTCTCCCCCTGCGTCCTCTCTGCCTGACGTTCCGAACCCTGAGTCTGACCGGTTTCGTGCTGAGCACCCTACTGTCACGCGTCTGTTAGCCACTGTTGTCACTGACCCGTCGTTTGAGTCCACTGCTGCGTCTGCCTTGGTTGCTGAGCTTGTTGACTTTGCTGCTGCCTGTCGTCTAGATTACGCTGCTAGTCTTGTTGCTGAGTCTGAGTCTGTCTGTCCTCCGTCCGTCGGGGGTGAGTGCGCTCTTGGCACGGACGTCCTTGAGGATAGGCACGAGGACCTTGAGTGTCTTGCAGCCGCTGCGCCTCATCTCGTGGCCATGCTGCTTGCCCCTGAGGGAGACACGGATGCACCAGACATCCCGACCCCGCGCTCTTACGCTGAGGCGATCGCGGGTGAGTACTCCTCTCAGTGGCAGACAGCCATGGACGCAGAGATGACATCCTGGAAGTCCACAGGCACTTACGTCGATGAGGTTCCCCCACCTGGGGCGAACATAGTCGATGGCATGTGGATTTTCAGGGTGAAGCGGCCGCCGGGTTCTCCGCCTGTCTTCAAGGCTCGTTACGTTGCTAGAGGCTTCAGTCAGCGTGAGGGAGTTGACTTCTTCCAGACCTTCTCCCCTACCTCGAAGATGACCACTCTTTGGGTGCTGCTGCACGTTGCCGCTCAGCGTGACTACGAGCTTCACTCTCTTGAATTCAGCACAGCCTTCTTACAGGGCAGCCTGCACGAGGAGATCTGGCTGCGCCGCCCACCTGGCTTCACTGGGTCGTTCCCTCCTGGTACCCAGTGGAGCCTCCGGCGGCCAGTCTACGGTCTCCGCCAGGCACCTCGTGAGTGGCACGACACACTGAGGACTACACTTGCGGCTCTTGGGTTCGCTCCTTCGACAGCTGACCCGTCGCTGTTTCTGAAATTTAACGTATCGCGTATATGCGTTCACGTATAAACGGGAAAACGTGAAACGGGGACAAATACGCGATACGTGAATTCGGGCAGGGCAAAAAAAATTCCCAAAAAAAAATAAAGTTCGCGCTTTTTCCGTACGCACGTATTCCGACATTTCGGGTCGCGTTTTTCCAACCTGTGGACGTGCAAAACCGAATCGCCACGTTCACCCCACGAAACTCAACAATGCCCAATCACCCCCAACAACTCGTGACCAACCAGAGCACGTCCCCCACCCCGCAACCAATTCGTGGTAGGTATAATTGACCCCACCACAACACATCTCTCATTCCTGTTCAGTTCAGTGTTGAGCTATGTCTACTCCAGTCCCTTCTAACCACACTCAGCCTTCTGGTCCGTCTACTCAGCATACCGATCCTTCTGCCTCGACTTCGGAGGCGCAATGGCTGGAGGAGGATAGTACGCATGTCGTCTTCAAGCATTTCAAGGTTCCCATCCGTCCCGACAGCATTTCAAAAAACCAACTGCACAAGGTCAAAATGAACATAGGCAGCGTGACTCACCCCCCCATACTTTTTTTCCCTGCCCGGAACTTTTTTTCACCTGCCCGGGCGACCGTATTTCGAGCGTATCGTGGGGCTGAAATCGCCCGTATCACGTACGTACGTGAGCGTACAGTACGTACGCGACTGGTACGTGAAACGCGTATTTTGCAACATAGGTGGACATGGATGCTGCAAAGAGGGTACTGCGCTACCTGTGCAGTACATCGGGCATGGGGCTCGTGCTTGGAGGACGGAGAGACGTTGTCCTCACTGGACACTCTGACGCGTCTTGGGTTGACGACCAGGCTACACAGCGGTCGTCACAGGGTTACACCTTCAGCCTTGGCTCTGGCTCTGTTTCGTGGCGGTCCACGCGCTCGTCTTCTGTTCTCAGCTCCAGTTACGCCACAGCCATGGCTGCATAGGAGTTACGCTGGCTCACCTACCTGCTGACTGACTTGGGAGAGAGGCCTCGTTCTCCTCCAGTTCTGTACGTCGACAACAAGGCCGCCATTGCCTTGTGTCAGGAGCACAGACTGGAGCACAGAACGAAGCACATCGCTCTGCGTTACTTCCTGGCTCGAGAGTTGCAACAGCGTGGTCAGCTTCGTCTTGCTCACGTGGCCACTCGGGCGAACACTGCTGATATATTCACCAAGGCACTTCCGTCTTGTGATCATCAGCGTTTCTGTACTTTGTTAGGCCTTGTGCCTACGTTTCCACACTTGCTGTAGACTTGATTGTACTGTGATCTATATATATACCTGCATGCTTGCTCTTGCTAGGTAGTGATCACTGTGCTGTTCTTGTTGCATATATATCTCTGCATGTGAACTGGCCTTGTGGCCTCTTGCTTGTGCTCAGTGTGTGTGGTGACGTTGTGATCCACCCTGAGCTTGCTTTGGTTTTCTTGACTGGTCTTGTGACCTCTTGCTCTCCCCCACTTTGCCTATGGAGGTGTGTCAAACATATACCTATTTGAATGTTATAAGCATGGTAGGCTGTAGTGGGGAAGACACTATAGGGGATAACCCCTTAGGGTTTTGCTCTTGTACTTTTCTCTCAATAGTCTAAATCATCTCCCCCTTGCCTAACTCCTAAGACGGGAAACACGACCAGGCGGCAGGCGCGATCTGGCATTCCTCGTTTGGAGGCTACTAACGAATTGTGTTTACTGTTCAGCCACCGTATCCCGTTCTTTTTGGGTGGCATAGCAACCTTTCAATACAGTGTTTTGTACTCGTCTGGGGACATCCTTTCCAAGAATATTGCTCCCCTCCTACTCCCTACAACAAGCTTCGAAAAATGGTTTCATGACAATTAGATGAGCCAATATTCTGGCAACATCACCTAGTATTTCATACTTGATGTCAATCTTTCACCATCGGCGTGGTTCTGCCCCCGTCCTTTAATCTCTTCGCAAATACCGTATTCTCCCGGATATAGGACCCTCCCGAAAAAAAGACCCCCGGGACTTATGATCGGGTCTGGGACTCTTAATATGTATGCTATATGAGAGGACCCCCCTTTTGCTATAAAACATTTTAAGACCCCCCTTTTCTGTATACACTAGTCAAAATCGAAAATGCGCGTCAGCTTATAGAGGCACAAAATCCGAAATCTGACGCGTCATTTGTGTCAGATTCGGGTTCTGACACACCAATCATGTCAGATGCGAAATCTGACGCTTCTGACGCGCCGCTCGCACGAGTTTCGCGCACGTGGGAAAAAAACCTCAACATTCAACATGAAAGGCAAGCTACTTATATCAGAGCCAAATTCCCTCCAAGGCACCTTGCACTGCCTTACCTCCATGCTCCTTCCCTCCACCTACCTACCCAGCTGCTTACAGAGCATCTTGTGATCAACACACTCCCCATGGGGCAGGTAGAGCACGAGTAGCTTGGTGAGGTAAGCCAAATGGTGCAACCCCGCATCGTCCACCCTCGTGCCCTGCAGATACAACCACTCTAGGCCGCCCAGCCGCCCCACATGCACCATGCCTGTGCCAGTCACGCCCTCGCAACCAAGCAGCGACAGGGTGCTGAGCGAGGGAACAGCAGCAACGTGCAGCAGCCCAGCATCGGTCACCTGGGTGCGGCTCAGATACAGGCGCGCAAGGCTCTTCGCTTCCCCGATGCCGATAAGGGCATCATCTGCAACAGCTGTGTCTCGCAAGCTGAGGTCCTCAAGACGAGGCAGCTTATAAAGGAGACGCACGCCCTCGGCACTGAAGCCTGCTGACCCGTCCAAGTCGATGTGTTGGAGGTGGGAGATGGTGGAGAGCAAGCGCAGTGCGGTGGTTGAGAGAAGGGGCAAGTTCTGCAGCTCCACATGGGTGCTCGTGCTCTTCGATGCGCCCCCACACCACACTGACAGAAGGGTCTGATGAGACAAGTGATGCAAAAAATATAACAAGGCAGGCAAAAAACGCTTCTTGAACACACATGCTGCAACATATAATTTCCTCAAAACAGATGGAAACATAAGTGGTACTGGTTCTAGACAAACTAGCCATGAAAATATGCAGTGATGATTATGCACTCACCTCCCACGACCGCTGGGTGGCAAGGTGGGTCTGTGTGAGAGCTGCCTGCACCCCTGCCAGTCGGTCCTTGTGCTCCGCAAACCCCGCCAACTCTCTCCTCACTGCCGCCACCTCCCTCCTTGCCTCCTCCACCTGCTCTGCTAGTGCCCTAATCGACCCTTTCAATCCCTGCCACGGGGCTCCCTCTCCTGTTAGCATCCCACAAGATTCAGTCACTTCCCTCCTTCCTGAACTGTCAATCTCACTGCACATGGCAGCACATGGCAGCACAGGGCAAGCATATGGAAGCACATGGTAGCACATGGTAGCATATGGCAGCACATGGCAGCACAGGGCAGCACGGCAGCAGATGGCAGCGCATGGCAGCATATGGAAGCACATGGTAGCACATGAAAGAGCACTGCAGCGCATGAGAGAACACGGCAACACATAGGGGACATGTCGAGATATAACGCCAATACAAAAGCTCCAGAAAACAACGAAAGTACAGAAACCAAAAGGTGAACCAAAGCGATGCGAGAAGGCTTTTCTGTCACCCCCGCGCAGCAGCAACCAGGACACACTGGCGATGCAACGTGGGAAATACTGATTGTCGGCAGCGAGGTTGGGTATGCTCACATGGATGTGTGGCGATGAGCATGGAAGAGTTGATGGAAGATTGCATGGCACTGGCACATGGTGGGGACAGGGAGGATGAGGACGACAGGAGGAGAGGAGAAGGGAGGATGACAGGTGAAGGGGGTGCAAGAGAGGGCAGGGTGACAATGGACGGGAGGAAGCAGCAACATAGAGGGGAGCGAGAAAGATGGGGAAAGAAGGACGAGTGAAAAAAAGAGAGTGTCAATTTCAGCCTGTCGATAGTAGCCTGATCGGCACGCGTGTCTGTGGCCGGTACAGAGGTAGAGGTGTAAGGTATGGTGGGTGAATGATGGCATGACAGGACATGCTCTGATGCTTATCCTCCGAAATAGGCAATCATATGCGGTGAGAAACGTACTCTGCACTCCAAGAACGCCACGGCCGCACACCTATGCTCTGCTATAACCACCAATGCCGCCAAGCCCTGCTGGTGCAGCCACTTTCCGAATTGCGCTGGTGATACACCCATCCACCACAGCAGACACACAAAGGCAGAGATAGCAAGGTAGGGAACCAGTACGATTCCCACCTGCAGGAGATAATGGTGTGAGAAAAGGCATGGCGTGAGACAAAGGCATGGCGTGAGAGAGAGAGGCATGACGAAAGACGGCAATCTCAACGCCCCATGCTGATGCTGCCCACCCACACTCATGCAGGCAAGGCGAGAGTGCATGTGCCGCCCACAGCATCCCACATCACACCTTCTCGATCTGCCCTCTCTCTTGCATAAGGCAGACGGCTATAGTTGCGGTGCTTCTCTTGTCACGAAGTGCAGTGCAGAGCGGTATGCGGTGCCCTGCTTCTAGTGGCTCACCACAGGGGGCAGCAGCAGGCGACGAGGTGTTTCAAGAGCCGTGGCAGGAGAGAGGGAGGCTGGGAGCACTGCGATAGTGGGCGTTTCTTGAGCACTCAGCTGAGCAGGACATGTTGCATTATGGCACGAGGCGTCCTGACATGCAGCGCTACGACACGTCACTGCTGCAATTGGCTGGGAGAAGGAAAAAAACACCCGTGGATGCATGCATGCATGCACGCCGGGTGTCACAGGCATGAATATCATCACAACAACAGATTGCACTGGTAGGCGATGAGGGCTTGCTGAGAAATATGAGCAGCAAGAGCAGAAAAAAAGGTTCTTAATCCGACCCACGTGGTCAGCAAGCACTTCAATGCGTCAGGACTACTAACCACCACAGGTGCGCACCTGTCCCGTGTGCTTGCAGCTGCCATGCCACACGCCGCGTCCGTGCGGCATGAGGGGCAGGGACGCAATGAAGAGGGCGCCTGCCAAAGCCAGCAGCAGCCCGGCCACCACCGCAGCCACCACAACCCTCCGTGGCATGCCGTTGCAGAGAGGCGCTCAAGGAACCCGTCTCGTATGGGAGCCGGTGCGTTGCGGGGAGCAGCAGAGAGCAGCAGGGAGCAGCTGAAGGGCAGGACTCACGGCAGCAGCAGTGGTAGTAGTTGCTGGAAGGGGAGAAGAGAGACGGACGGAAGGGCAGCGAATGGGGTGGGTGGGTTAAGGAAGGAAGGCGATTGCGGGGTTGCAGCAGGGAACAGAGTGTGCTTGGGATTTTTAACAGAGCAGGGAACAGGTCGGAGAGGAGGGCAGCGGGACAGCACCCCACAGGAGCACACACGGACTTTCAGGGCAGAATAGACCTGGACGGGCGCGAAAGCAGCAGCACGGGGCGGGCACTGTAGAACGAGCCTCGCAAAATCGAGCAGTGAGGAGCAGTGTCGCGACGCAGACACAGGCGTCGTTGAAGCAGACAGGGTCCCGACAACCACGCAGTGCCTTGGGATCGCTGGACAAGGAGGAAGCGAGAGACGCGAATGGCGAATGGATAACGGCGATGGAGGGGTGTGCGTAGCAGGCTGCTGAGATTCACGCGCGGACGGGACTAGGGCGATGGGCACGCGCGTTGGGCAGGGGATGAGATGGAGAATCGTGGAATGGTTGGGAAAGAGCGGAGGGAGGAAGCAGGCAAGGCGGTGGAATCACCTGGCAGCGGGATAAGAGGCCGAAACACAACGGAGCGAGATAAGGAGGAGACGATACCTGCCCGGGGCCATGGCGGCGCTGCTATGCAGTCACTACGTTCGCTGCCGCGCAGCATGCGGAAACGAAGACCCAAGCTCCAACCCGACCGACCTAGGCCGTTCATGATCTCGCGATGACGACCGACCATGCGCAGCGGACGGACGAGACGGCCTGCTACCTATCCTCGCACCGGCGGCGGGGTTTGGAGAGAAAGCCATGTGGCGATTGAAGACCCGCTCCGGACGCGCGCGCGGAGCATCATCGGCGGGCACTAACGGTGTAATCCGCCTCGGGGATGACGCCATGGCGCGAGCGCGGTGTAGGGGGGAGAGGTTGGGCGTGGTGAAGCCGTGGAGATCTTTCCTACAGTGCCCTTCACAACTGTTTAGTAGCGGTACACGGTAGTATTTCTCTTATCATTGCTAAGGACCTTTCTTATGCAGCAGCGCAATAAAGAGTTCTTGCACATTTTCCAGTTAGGCTTCTAATACGTATGATTGGAATCAGTTTGGGTGGAGGGGGTTCATACCGTAAGACTTCATACAGGCAAAATAATAATCACATCGAACATGCATGCCCGATCGCCACAAGTTTACTCCAATCATATCACATTAAATCCGTCCGCCATATCTGCCTCCTAGCGTGCCCTCCTTCCCCTCGGTGCGCATGCGCGCGTACGTGGCGTCGAACCACGCCATGACAGCTGTCACGTTGGCCACGATGGCGCGGCGGCGGTACATGAAGCGGCACGAGGCGTTCTTGCGCGGACACTCGGGGCCCATGAGCTCAAACACCTTGTCGTGCTCCACCCTCACCCACCTGGATGAGATAGTGCAAGGGGAGGGGGAGGGGGAGGGGGAGGGGGAGGGGGAGGGGGAAGGGCAAGGGCAAGGGGAGGGGGAAGGGGAAGGCCAAGGGCAAGGGGAGGGGGAAGGGGAAGGGCAGGGGCAAGGGCAAGGGGAGGGGGAAGGGGAAGGGCAAGGGCAAGGGGAGGGGGAAGGGGAAAGGCACTCAGGGCCCATGAGCTCAAACACCTTGTCGTGCTCCACCCTCACCCACCTGCTCACCCAGTGCAAGGGCACGGGCAAAGGAAAGGGAAGGGGCAAAGGCAAAAGGCACTCGGGGGAGCCATGAGCCAGAATGTGCCATGAGGCATGGGCTCCACTCGCATCCACCTGATGAGGATTGTGCTTGCAAGGGGTGGGGAGGACACATGTGGATTGGGTCCAACACAGTCATGGCGTGATGGCAGCGGCAGCGGCAGAGGCAGCAGCAGCGGCAGCGGCAGCGGCAGAGGCAGAGGCAGCAGCAGGGGCAGCGGCAGCGGCAGCGGCAGCAGCAGCGGCAGCGGCAGCGGCAGCAGCAGCGGCAGCGGCAGCAGCAGCGGCAGCGGCAACGGCAGAGGCAGCAGCAGCGGCAGCGGCAGCGGCAGCAGCAGCGGCAGCGGCAGCAGCAGCGGCAGCGGCAGCAGCAGCGGCAGCGGCAGCAGCAGCAGCAGCGGCAGCCCCGAGTGCAGGCAGCACAGCACACTGCAGATGCAACACAGCGACATGGCCCCACAGAACACAATGCACAGCAAGAAAGCCCCACTCTCGAACACTCCTCTAACCTGGAAGCCTCCTCTAGACTCTGAGCACGTGCGGGTCACACTGGCACGAGCTCCAACACGGCACTGCCCAAAAGCATGCCCGGCCCCAGGCACACGACTCTCACATGGAAGCCTGCCCATCTGGAAGCCTCTTCTTACACGCGCAGCACGCGTTGGTCGTATTCCGAAATTCCGAAGGGGTACGAGCTCCAAAACAGCACTGCCCGGGCGCCCAGCACACACAAGGTGCAGCTTGGCTGCATGCCCTCTCCCCCCCCCATGCAGCTGGCTCTGACCTGGCAGCCTCCTCGTAGACTCTGAGCACGCGCGGGTCGTACTCGGGGATGCCGAAGGGCACGAGCTCCAACACAGCACTGCCGGGGCGCATCCACATGACATGGTTCATGGTGCCGTCTCCACTCACTGTCACCAGCATCGATGCTGCCCCCATGAACAGCACCTGGCATACGGGATATATAGGTGCATTTAAGAAGGGAGAGGGAGGGTTGTATTGAGTAAGAGGTGTAACAACATTATGTGGTTCATGGTGCCGTCTCCACTCACTGTCACCAGCATCGATGCTGCCCCCATGAACAGCACCTGCCAGGCAGCAGAGTGCGGAGCAGTCAAGGGGGAAGGGGGGGGGAGGAGAGGGGGGAGAGGGGGGAAGAGGGGTGGGGGTGGGGGGGGGGGGGTGGGGGAGGGGTGGGGGCGGGGACAGCCAGGTGGGGAAGGAAGAATTTGGGGTGGGCGAGTGAGTGGGGTCGCATCCACATGACATGGTTCATGTGCACGCAGAGGCCTTGTTGCAGCGGTCCTCAACTCCTTTCAACCCCTGCCCACCACCCTCTGCTTCCCCCACCCACCCCTCCGCTTTGCATCATCTCACCTGTGCACAGAAGTTGGTGAGATTAACCTCCCTCACAGCCACCAGGTCGCACACAATACACAATGACCTTGTGGGGTCCCTCGGCCTCTTCATTGACATCCTTCAGCCCCTACCCCCCCCCCTCCCATTGCACTCTCCACCCACCCCTCCTCGTCTCACAGTGCACATAAGTTGGTAAGAATCGCCTCCCTCATAGCCACCACTTCAAAAGCAGTGGTGTTCTCCATCATGCCATACCCACTTGTCAAAATCCTAGCCACTAGACAACTGAAAATAAAAAGGGTTGTAAGTAGCGGATCAGTGGGTACGTAATCTCCCAGACTGACGAGCCTGTAACCTTTCTCTATGATCAATTGGGGATCCCAAGTGCAGGTAAAGCAACAGCAACATGGCAAAACAACAGCAAAAAATGGGCGCATGCGTGTACGAACATGAGGATTCTAAGTCTAGATCTTCTCTCTAATATTATGTCAGAATCCCAACCACCACCACAGGGATAAAAGCTTGTTAAGTAACAGGTCTGAGCGTCCATAACTCCTCAGCTGGCGAGCCTATAACCCTTCCATAGGATTATCGGAAATCCCCGGTGCAGGTTTCCTGACAGCCCTTTCACTAGGATGCCATAAAACACGACACAATGCAGCGACAAATGAGCGCCAGCATATGCGCATATCGGGATTCTAACCCAAGACCTTCGCTCTGATACCATGTCAGAAATCACAGACTAGACCATTGGGATAGAATGACTTATTAACTAGCGGGTCAAAGCATCCATATCCTCCCAGGCTGGGCAAGCCTGTAACCTTTCCACACAATCAATCGAGGATCCACAGTGCAGGTCTCTTGACATCACCGTTGCCAGCATCGCCATACCCTCGTGCACAAACAGACATGGACGTATGGCATCAGCCATAAGCCCAAATCCTCTCCAATAAACCATCCACCCACAACCCCTTTTCCTCTTCGTCTCACCTGCGCACAAAAGTTGGTGAAGTTGGCTTCCCTCACAGCCACCAGTTCGCAAGCAGTGGCTTTGTGGCAACGGTCCCTCAGCCCTTTGAGCAGCGCCTGCAAGTTCTCCATCATGCCATAACCCCCACTGTCTGCATCGCCGTATAGCACCAGCACGCGGATCGTGTGCGCGTCCGAGCTTACAAACCCCCGCAGCCCCGGCGGCACCCCCGCCATCGGATGATGCTGCTGCTGGGCCGCCCCTGCCCCTGCAGTGCTATTCCCAGCAGAGGCAACAGCAGCATCAGCGGCGGTGGCAGAGGGAGGGATGGAGGAGGCGGCGACGGAGCAGAAGGCCCAGGCACGCTCCTGCACGTCCTGCAGCACGATGCTCCTCTCCTGCGCCGCCGGCCGGTACCGCCGCGTCATGACGGCGCGCTCAAAGCACACGGGGCGCGTGCCGTTGCGCACGCGGAACGGCGCAATGTGCGCACCCAGAATGGCCTTGAACAGCAGCCGCGACCACGGCGACAGCCGCATGTCAAGGCCCCCGCGGCGGTAGAAGAAGGCTCGAGCGGGGCGCATGAAGGAGTAGTCGGGGTAGGGGTAGAAGAGGTTCGCAAGGATGTTGGGTGTGTGAAAGCGGTCGTCGAAACCATAGCGCGAGTGCAGGAGGAGGGAGGTGCCGAGGAGCATGAGGGCGGACGGTGGGATGGAGTCGAAGGTGGCGATGGCGAACGAGTTGTTGCACGCGCCCCCCGAGAAGCAGAGCGGTGTGGAGAGGTTCCCAAGGATGCAGAGGATTTGCTTGGGGTGCTGCGGGGAGGGGAAGACGTGCACCTCCGGCATGTTGGTCACCTGGGGGAAGGGGGTAGTGAGGAGCGGGCAGTGAGGGATGGAGGAGAGGGGCAAGCAGGTATCATGGGCAATGAAGAGAGAAACAGTACCAACAAGAGTGTGACATGAAGAGGACCGGAAGTTACCCATCTAAGAGAGAGCATGAATCACAAATTACCCGTCTGAGAGAGGGCATGCATCACAAATTACCCGTCTGAGAGAGGGCATAAATCACAAATTACCTGTCTGAGAAAGGGCATGAATTACAAATTACCCGTATAAAAGAGGGAAAGAAAAAAATGTACCCGTCTAAGAGAGGGCATGAATCACAAATCACCCGTCAGGGAGGGCATAAATCACAGATTACCCGTCTGAGAGAGGGCATGAAGCGGAAGTTCTCATCACTGGACGACATCTTGGTAGCATCAAACAGCGCCTCCCACTGCAGCCCGCCCTCCTTGTCCCCCTCCCCTCCTTCTCCCCCTCCGCCGCCTCCCCCTCCCCCTCCACCCCCACCGCCGGCCTTATTGAACTGCATCTTGGTGAAGGTGTCCTGCTCCAAGTGAAACTTGGCGAGCGTGGAGTTGCGCAGCGGCATGTCGCCGAAGAAAGCTTCAAGATCGTTCAGGCACGCCGACCCCACGCGCGTGTGGTCCTCAAATGAAGAGGCCAGGTCTTCTGTCACGCGCTTGTCGGGGTCGACGACGAGGAGAGGGGCGGCGTCGGTGAGCTCGGAGGCCAGGAAGTTGAGGGCTGCGTCGGCGCACTGCGGGGACATCTCGATGTAGTCTCGCACTTGCTGAGGTGAAGCGGGGGGCAAGGGGGGGAGGGGGGGTGTTGAGTGGGATGTTTGCGTGAGAAAGACGACAGCTCAAGGAAGGTGAGAGTACATCGAGGAGTGGGACGACAGCGCACTGAGGGACATTACGATGTAGTCCCGCACTAGCTGGCACGTTGGGTAATTTGGGGGGTGGAGAAGAGGGGGGAGATATGTGAGATGGATTGCGTAAGTCGACTAAGGGCGTATTCCATGTTGGTGGCAGGGCAACCGTTCCATCACACTGTTCGTGGCATGCGGATTTTCCGGCCCACTGAGTTTCTGTGTACAGTTGCCACCAACTCGACGTGAACAGTTGCCCTGCCACCAACATGGAATACGTCCTAAGAAGGCACCATGAGAAATTTGAGAGCGGCGTCGGCTCACTGACATGGTGGCAGGAGGGGGTTCAGAAAAGGGGGAAGAGGGGAAAAGCGGGGTGGGCAAAGATGGGGTTGAAGGCAAGAGCAGCACAACATGTGGACCAGGCGCAGGCATCCATGCATGCATGGAGTGCGGTTGGTGCTGGTAAGGTAAAAAGTCTAGGGTTAGGGTTTAGAGTGGCGCCCCCTTACTGTTCTCCATCCTTCCATTGCTGCCCACCAAGCATCCCCTCCCTTCCCCACCCCACCTCCCCACCTCCCTACCTTCACCCCAGAACCCCCCTTCCTTCCCCTCCCCTTTTCACCTGCGACAGCGTGCACGTGTACGAGTACGACTGCAGGTAATGTGCGTGCAACAACAACAACCTTGCCCCCACCTTGGAGTACTCCTCTCTAGGGTCCGCCACGAACAACGGCTCGCTCGTGTGCGGGCCGTCTCTATCTGAACTCCCCACCTGCAGCACCATGCACACCTGTTACCTGTACCACTGTGCCATGCCATCAACACGCCCCCCTCCCCCCTCTCCTCCCACCTGTGCAAGACATGCATTGAACACCTCCGCTTCCCTTCCCCCCTCACCTGTGGCAGCGTGCACGTGTACGACTGGAGGTAATCCGCATGAAGCAGCAACAACCGCGCCCCCACCATCGAATACTCCTCCCTCGGGTCCGCCACAAACACCAGCTCGCTCGTGTGCGGGTCCCTATAGTGCGCCGAGGGAAAGAATCCCACCAGCCGCTGCGGCTGCTCCTGCCAGAACTTGAAGGCCGAGGAGAGCACGGACGCGCCCACCATCACCGAGTCGTCGCACATGAGCAGGCAGTCCGTGGGGAGGGACGCGATGGGGCGCATGCGCGCCGACATGGAGTACCGCGTGAGCGGCGGGAGCAGCTCCACGGGTTTGCTGGCGTTCCACGACTCGATGGCCGCTGCCAGGATGCTCTGCGTGTGCCCCTGCGCCCACGCGCTGCCGCCACTGCTGCTGCCGCCGCTGCTACCGCTCCCACCAAGGTTGAATCCTCCTGACGAGTCCCCCCCAACACCACCGCCGGCACCACCCGCACTCCCTCCTCCCGGGGCGTCGCTGGGCTTAGCCATGACGTAGATCATGTGCACAAAGCGCATGGCGGCAAAATGAAAGATTAGCGTCTGCAGAGTCGTCAGATCCCCGCCTGTGAGAATCACCACGGACAGCTTCCGTGGCACGGGCGCTCCCCGCGCATACTGCATGAAATCCGTCTGGCAGAGAGGACTCGGCAGCGCGTCCGCCGGCGCAATCACCCCGTGCTGCACGAGCAGCCCCGACATGTCCCTCAGCAGCTCCCAGCGCAGGTGGTCATAGCGCCGTGTGGGCGGGTAGAGCTTGTCCGTGAGCTCGTCCCAGCGCTCAAAGCCCCCCGCGAAGCGCACGACCTTGAGCTTGGGGTGCACCCACTCGTTCCACGTGGCGGAGTACCCTAGACGGGAGGGCGCGTTGCACCCGTAGTCCAGGTGGTGCTGCGCGCCCAGCTGCGGCCAGTCCGAGAAGAAGTGGTTGAAGAAAATCAGGTCTTCGGAGCCCACTGGGAGGACCGGACCCCGCCGCAGCCGCCGCTGCAACCCCCACTCCTGCTGCTGCTGCTGCTGAGGCTGCCCCTCCTGCCGGCCCTCCTGCTGCTGCACCGCCTGGTCGGAGTCCCCTGCTGCGAGGGTGCGTCGTGCGCTGCTGTCGCTGTCGCTGTCGCTATCCGCGTCGCCGAATGCGATGGCCGCGTATTCCGCGACCAGCTGGCGGTACGTTGCCACGCTCGGCTCCAGCACCAGCAGGCTCGGGTTGAACCGGTCCGGCAGGGAGTTATCCGGAGCTGCGGTAGGCTCGGGCCGAGCCAGCACGTCATCGATATTCTCAAGAACGAGCATGCGCGGGTCTAGGTAGACGACTTTGGAGTATTGGCGCAGCAGCCACATGGAGAATTTGAACGGCAGGCACTCCGCGAGCGCCGCGGGGTGCGGCGGCGGGGAGTAGACGGAGCTGAAGGAAAAGGGGTCCGCGAAGGTCGTTGGGGGAAGGGCGGAGAGAACTCCGCCGCGGGGTTCGCGGAGAAGGCTGTGGAGAAGGGGTCGGCGGAGTCCCCTGCGGCGGCGGAGCGCGCGGAGGATTGGTTAAGGTGGGCGGAGGCGGCGGCGGGGCGGAAGGGGTCGTCGAGCAGCGCGAGCACGGACGCGGGGACGCCGCGCGGAAGCGGGTTGACGGTGGCGCCGAGCGCGCGGAAGATGTGGCGCGGCGTGCCGGAGAGGTTGCGCGCGAGCACGACGATATCGTGTTCGGTTTTAGTAGAGCGGATCGAGTGCACGAGCACCATGGCGGACTTTAGCTGCGACTCATCGCACACCACCACTACGTACGCCGCCGGACCGGTTAGTTTCCCGCCGCCGCCGCTGCTCCCGCTGGTGAATCCGCTACGCGAGGTCGCGGAGGACGCGCCGGCGTTTGCGGCGCGGGAGTCGGCGGAGTGCCAGGGGCGCGAGGTGACGAACCAGAGCGTGAGGAGGAAGGCGAAGAAGCCGAAGAACTGCTGGAACGCCGTCCACGCGCGCGCGTACCGGAAAGATTGCTGCAGTGACGCCGCCAGCAGGTCCGGCGACGACCCGTACCGCGCCGCCGCCGCCGGGCGCGACACGACGTGGCTCCGCGCGATCGCCATTGGCGGGTGGGTGCGGGGGGGTGTGTTGTGGGGGGTGGGGTTCTGTTTGAAATGGGAGCGGCGCGTCAGAGTGAGGACAATCGCGAGTGATTAGTGCTGGTGTCTCTAGTAGAGGGGCGTGATTACGGCGGTGGGTGTCGCGCCTCGTCGGGAATCATGATCAAATTGGAGATTCCCGCACGAAGGTTTGAACTTGGTTTGCGAAGCAACCGAAGCGCGATAGGAACGAGATAATAGTATGCGTCGTGCTGCTTCACGGCACCACCGTTGACATAACGGAACTAGGACCAGTAGCGACAATACTAGTATGCGATGCGATCGTCATGTGACATGACCTACTTCACCACCTGTTCTCAAGTTGCGTAACGGTGGGGAGAGAATTTAACTCGTGGGTGGTTCCTTGCGGTCGAGATCGTTGCACCGCGGTGCAACACTCTGAATCTTAGAAACCGTTTTCCACCGTGTGGAACCGTCCAGAGACGCACAACCTCCCCAGCTGCGTCGACTTCGATAAGCTACAAAACTTCATCACAACAGAAGTGTAGCAGGTGTTGTCTAGCCAGCTTTCTACTTTAATGTCTTACTGCATTAGAAAATAATATGCTTATTAAAAGGTTCCAAATCAAAAACAATTTGATCATAAACGTGAGAAGCAAGGAAGCCCGGTGAAAGTTGGCAGTGGTGGCAGCTTAGAGGGGTACGCCTTACATGGTTAATACGAGGGGTAATTGCTCCAACCCACTTCATGAATTGACGGTAACTGGAGTGGAAGCTACGACTTACCGTCTGTATGCAGGAGATGTGGATGGAATGTGATTGGGATGGAGCGGACGCTACGTGCTGAGCTTTTTATGACCAAAATGGGGCGGGATAGGACGGTCACGGGAGATATTTGTTGAGCCAAGGTGTGCTGCCATACTTGAGTGTTGATGTCAAATGTTCTAGCCATTAGTGGGTTGTGCAGTAGGGGGTACAAACAGTTAGGGTTTGAATATGTACCCCAATCTGTCTAATGCAACTCATTCCGCTGTAGCCACATTCTGAGATGGTAGCCGCGCTCTCTCAGTTTAGCCCCCTATGTCGACCTCCCGAGTACTTCGTTTTGACCCTGAGGGGAGACCCATTGATTTTAGTACGTGGCTTACGCAGGCGCAGCGCCACCTTAAGAGCCAGCGGCAGGATGGCGTGCACCTGTTCGCACACGCGTCCGGCACTCAGACCGCCCCTCTGCAGCCTCGGCCGCTGCCCACTAACCCACTGTCAGAATGAGGAATGAATGGTGCATTGATGTTGGTTGGGGTACATATAGCTAACCCTAAGTTTTGTACCCCCTAAGACAAACCTCACTATAGGCTACAACATTTGACACACCCCCATAGCCTAAGTGAGGGGTGTCTAGCAGAACCAAACGAGTACGGTCACAAGACCAGTCCAAGAAACGAAGCTCAGGGTGGATCACAACGTCACCACACAGTCTGAGCACAAACAACAGTGGCCACAAGGCCAGTCCAAGAAGTAACAGAGGTATATAGAAAGCAAAGTAAACAGTACACTCAAGTCTAAGCAACACGAGAACCAGTGTCAACAAGGCCTAACTGCACACAGCACCTCTGGTGGTCACAAGGCGGAAGCGCCTTGGTGAAGATGTCTGCAGTGTTGGCCTCGGACTCCACAAACTCAAAGCGAGCCTGTCCACGCCTCTGCAACTCTCGCAGAAGAAAGTACCTGACGTGAATGTGCTTCACTCTGCTCTCCAGTCGTGGCTCTCGACAAAGGAGAATAGACGCCTTGTTGTCAGTGAACAAGGTCGGTGCAGAGCTCGGCCGCTCACCAAGGTCGGTGAGCAAGAAGGTCAACCAACGCAGCTCCTGTGCCGCCATGGCACCAGCGTAGATCTCAGCCTCAGCTGTAGAGGTCGAGACCGAAGAGGAGCGCGTGGACCGCCAAGAAACAGCTCCAGAACCCAGGCTGAAACAGTACCCCTGAGTAGACCTGTGAGTCTCAGCGTCGTCAGCGTAAGAGGAGTCACAGTGACCAGTAAGTACGACAGACTGCTGCCCTCCAAGAACTAGCCCCACGCCTGACGTCGTCGCTAGGTACTTCGCCACCCTCACAGCTGCTGTCCAGTGAACAGGACGGTGTCTCCCTGGCGCAACAAAGCGCGCAAGAACGCTGAGAGGGAAGGTGAGGTCCGGGCGAGTACAAGTCATCAGGTACATGAGGCAACCCACAAGCTCAGCGTAGGGACCACTAGGCTCGAACGGCTCGTCAGGAAAGGGTCCAGTGAGTCTGTGGTCAACAGCAAGAGGTGTGCGCTGTACTGTGGAGGTGATCTGCAGGCCAAGGTAGTGGCGCAGCTCACCAAGATCAGTGCAGGTGTGTCTCTTCTGCAGTTCGGACTTCACGTGTGCCAAAGCAACCCTGTCAGGGGTGGCGAAAACAAGGTCGTCAACGTAGACCAGAACAAAGAAAGGTGTGGGGCCACGACGAACGAACAGCGACGGGTCAGCAGAAGACGGCTGGAACCCAAGGTCAGACAGGGTAGAACGCAGGGTGTCGTGCCACTCACGAGGAGCCTGACGAAGTCCGTAAACCGGTCGCCTCAGCCTCCACTGGGTCCCAGGAGGGAAAGAGCCAGTGAAGGCAGAGGGACGACGCAACCAGACCTCCTCGTGAAGACTGCCCTGAAGGAAAGCAGTAGAGAAGTCGAGAGAGTGTAACTCGTAGTCTCTCTGTGCTGCTACGTGTAGTAACACCCGAAGAGTGGTCATCTTCGAGGTGGGGGAGAAGGTCTGAAAGAAGTCAACTCCCTCGCGCTGACTGAAACCTCTAGCCACGTAGCGCGCCTTGAAGACCGGAGGAGATCCCGGTGGCCGCTTCACCCTGTAGATCCACATGCCGTCGACTACGTTCGCCCCCGGAGGGGGAACCTCATCGACGTAGGTGCCTGTGGATCTGTAGGAGGCCATCTCTGCGTCCATGGCAGCTCTCCACTGAGAGGCCCAAGGCCCTGACACTGCCTCAGCGTAAGTGCGAGGAGTCGGAATGTCAAGGGCGTCGGGGTCACCCTCAAGGGCGAGGAGCATGGCACAGAGATGAGGGGAAGCGGCCGCCAGGAACTCTAGCTCAAACTGCCTGTCCTCTAGGGCGTCACAGCCAAGGGCAGACACACCCCCGACGGCCAGAGGACTGGAAGGAGGAGCAGCCACAAGAGCGGTGGCGAAGTCAAGGCGGCGGGTAGAGGCAAACTCAGTGACTGCGGCAGTAAGAGCGGACACAGAGGACACAGAGGCACGAGGGTGGGTAACAAGAGAGGCAAGAACACGAGAGAGAATAGGACGGTACGTGCGGTAGTAGTCAGTGACAGGAGAAGGAAGCGACACAGTGAGGGCCGACTCAGGAGGAGACGGAAGCACAGACGGAGACGGACGAGGTGGACGAGAACAAAGGAAGGCTGTACGAAGGTCAGTGAAGGGAACAGGAGACGAGGGACGAGCACGAGGGGAGCGACGAGAGGCCCAAGTCTGAGAAGGAGGAGGAGACAACGAAGACTGAGAACGAGGGAAAACAGCGGGAGAGGGGTCAGGAGGAGGAAGCGGAGGACCAGAGACGGGAGGAGAGGGGGAGGAGGAAGGAGAGGGAGAGGGGAGACCAAGGGTCCGAAGACCCGAGACAGGAGGAGGAGACGGCAGCTGCTGCTGCTGCGGCTGCTGCGGCTGCTGCTGCTCCAGCGGCTGCTGCCCCTGCTGCTGCTCCTGCTGCTGTCGCTCCTGCTCCTCGAGCCGCTGCAACTCTCTCTCCTCTCTCTCCAACTCCAGCTGCTCCTCACGAGCACGGCGAACACGAGCCTGGAACCTGGTCGGGTAGGGGTGGGGGGAAGGAGTAGTGTCCGGGGCAGCGGCAGCCCCAGAGTCGACCTCCGAAGCACCAAGTACACCACCCCCAGAGGCAGCACCAACACCAGCTCCAGACCCAGGCTCTCTAGAAACCGAAGGGACACCCTCACCCCCAGACGCAGCACCCCCAGACTCCGCACCAGCACCCCCAGACTCCGCACGACCAGTACCAGCCCCCGGAAGACAAGAGTCCTCTGCAACCCGCGGCTCAGCTCCAACTCCAGCACCCCCAGAACCAGAGACCTGTACAGGGACAGTCGCAGGACCAACCTCCCGAGAGGGAGCACCTGCAGGAGGCGGCGAGGAAGACTGTGGGGAGGGAGGCTGTACAGGGGGGGCTACCGAAGGGGGAGGGCTAGCCTGAGACACACCAGACGGGGCTGGACCAGGGGGGGGAGGCTGTACCGGGGGAGCAGGCGGGGGAGCGGCGGTCAGGAAGAGAGGGGGGGGAGGGACCGGGAGACCTCGACTGGGGTACCTGACGTAGTAGGGGGTGGACTCCTCGAAACGGACGTCACGGGAGTCAAAGAACCGGTGAGAGGGAGGGTGGTAAAAGGTGAAGTCAGAGGAGTCCTCAGGGAAACCAAGGAAGACACAAGGAACGGCGCGAGGCGAGAGCTTGTCCGCGGAGGTGTCGCGGACAAGAGCCAAGCACCCCCAGACACGAAACCTCGACGCGACACCAGGGGACCCTGTCCAAAGACTGGTCGGTGAAGCCTCCGGCCGAGAGACGCGTGGCCAGAGGTTCAGCTGGTGCGCGGCGTACCTGACCGCGTATGGCCACAGGAAATGGGGGGCACGGGCGTGAGTCAAGGAGGTGCGGGCAATCTCCATGACCAGGCCTATGCGACGCTCAGCAACCCCATTCTGCTGTGGGGACTCCGGAAGCGTCCAGGACTGACGAATGCCCTGTTCGCGACAGAATCCAGCGAGAATGCCGGAGCGAAACTCGCCCCCGCGGTCGGAGTGGAGACAGCTGACACGACGACCACGAGTGTCCTGGGTGGTAAGCAACCACCTGATCAGCGTAGAAGTCACCTCAGACTTCCTCGCCAGGGGGAACACTGTGGTGTAGCGGGAGTAGTCGTCAACGACCACCAAAAA